ATTTGAGCTGCTTTTTATAAAAAGTAATTTGTGTTCCAACTCTTCTGAATTCAGAGATACAATTGCACATCAGGAGTATCATACACTATTTAAATAAGTAAGTGGTCTCTTGTTTGGCATTTAATACCAAATCCAAATCAAATGTTTATCTGTTTGAATTTGTTCTATAGTAAGAAAAGGTAGAAAAAATGTGACATGTGCTAGAAGAAAATTAAATTTATTCTTTAAAATGTTAACCAATGACCCTGATCATCTCAGATACTCTCAAGAAGAAGCATTGAGTATTCAGAGGGGACTAGAATGGGAACAACTTTGTTTGCTGACTGTAAGACTGAAATAGATTCTTCACCTCTCTTTCCATCCCTACTCCAAACCATTTCATTGCCATTTCCTTTCTTTCTTTTTCAAATTAGGCTCAATTTACACGTACATACTGATCACATTCATCTTAGGGAATTTGTACCTGTACATGATAAAGAAGAACTAAGACATTTTATTTCTGTAGGTTCTTCTAAGCAGTTCAGGGAAGAGTAAGTTGCTTGCAAACACGCAGCTGAAGTTACTTCTTTCACAACACCAGCTGAAATCCTAAGAGGCCCTCCCTAGAACGTCCTGCAGCTAACACTACAGCTTGTCCTGTGGTCTGTATGGACGGGGGCTCTTTAAAGGCTCCTTGCTCTCCTCTTTTCTCAGAAGAACTTTAAAGAAAGTATTTCTCCTCGTCCTGCATCTTTGAGTTTCTCTTGTGGCATCGAAATGATTGTTTTAGAAAACTTTATCTGAGTGATAGCTTCCTCAGGCAAGCAGTAGTGTATTTCATTTCAGTCTGAAGTTTAAATTTAGGAATAATGAAAGAGGAGCATTTAAGAACCATGAAAAAGTGAAAGTATATTAGTTCCAACTTTGCATTCTTCTAATTTACTATTCTAGGAAGGATGTTGTTTGAGAGTAGATTGCTACTTTAGTAGCTCTATTGAAGAAATCTTTAAATGTGTGCATATTTTCTGAGTTTAAACAAAGATGGCAATATAATACAAAACAACAACAACTAGAATCCAGAACATCTTACTTAGCTGTATTTCTGCAGCACTCTAAGTATTTCTCTCAGCTCCAGCCCATGGTACACTCAGAAAGTTGCCAAGGGCTTCCTTCTTCTAATGCAAATAAAATCATCATCCACCTGCATAGAATTCCTCTGTGGCATGTCTCTGTCCTTCTGGAGCACTGCAAATACTTTCTCCTTCCTTTCAGAACTTTTTATGCCATGGGCCCTTCTCATGCTTCAACACTTGGTGTTTTGAATCTACCTCGTCACAAGCTATATGGAGCTCCACACACTTGCTTATTTTTGCAACACATTGGAAGGTTCTTGAAAATAAGTGCTGTGTCTCTCCTTTATGGTTCTGTTCACTACTCTGTGAATTACATAGCAGGGATTCAGGAAATATTTACCAGACGACCGAAGACTATAGTAACCTGGAATCTCTTATTGTGGGTCCTTTCCCTTCTGAAAGAGGATATATGTTTTATTAGATGAAATAAACTAAAGGAAATAAAAACTCTCACATAAATGCTAAGCATTACATAATGAATATGTATTTTATTATAATGTATTTATATTGAAAAAAATTCAAGAGAGACTATACATGGCCCAACTTTTTGAGAATCTGCTTCATGGCAGGGCTTTTTTATGATCTGCCACATTAGTATTTTTGCTACATACTTCATATCAAAATTTTCTTCACTTTTTTGATTCTACTCTGATATATAGTTATGGTACATGTACAGTCATTAATTTAATCAAGAGAGTGAACATAAATTGACAAGAAGACTTTTAGGTAGGGTAAAAGGGGAAACTCATCAACTAACATTATATATGACATTGAAGAAAGAAAGCATTCAATTGAGCAAGTTTCTTTGTGTGTATATATGTGTATGAATAGAAATATTAATAAGCTTTAGGTTTGTATGGAAGTACACTGTGAAATGTTACACATCAGTATATCAAGTCATGGCTTATATTTGTATTACATGTGCTCTCAAGCAATTGGCTCCACCTTTTCGATTCATTTATTAAGAGTAAATTTTTATTGGCAAGTCTCAGAAAATGAGGATTTCTAATAAACCATTAGTCATGGAGATAGTAGAAGAGAGAGAGAAAAAACAAAAACAACCCTGATACCCCATGTCTTTGCCCTAACTGAGCCACAGTCTGGCTTCCACAAAGTGTCTTCCAGGAGCTAGAAGGTCCTAAGAGACCTGCCTCTGGCAACCACTACAGCACGTTTCATCTCTGCTCTTTGCACTTGTGCGTATTTTATCTTTCTCACATTCACCAGCTTCAATGTGCAAACTTTTTCCTTGTTTGCACTGAGCACATCATTCTTTCCTCAGCTCTTCAAAAAATCTACACACTCCCATCTTGGCCTCTCAGCTTAAGTGTTATTTCCTCAGAGAGGGAACATTTCTGATCACCTTAGGTAAAGGAGTATCCCTGAGTTACAGTCTGTGTTATCTCAGATTTCCTGTTCCATCCCTCCCTGAGGTCCCTTTTTGGTTGACCTTTCTGTAGAATGAATAGCTGGATGACCCACCAACCGTTCAGTGGAAGAATACCAGCACCAGAGTCAACAGTCTGGTTAAAGAAACTCACTTTACCTTTTCGGAATCTGTGTAGAGGGCATGGTTCGAGGAAATTGTTAAAAAGGAAGGCAGGTTGGATGGAAGCATCTCCTTCAAGTTGGAAGCATGAGTCTTCAGTCAGATTTATTTCATGCAGATGCACAAAATAAAAAAGGAAAACTTATGGAAGGTTAGAAAATATCACCAAGGGTCTAGGGAGATGGCTCAGCTCAGTAGTATAAACGCTTCCCTGGCAAGCACAAGGGCCCAAGTTCAATCCCTGGTTCTGAAAAAAAAAAAAAAAAGAAGAAGAAGAAAATATCACTAAAATTACTATTGTGATGTTTTTCAAATACTTTCTTTTCATTTCATATGAGATACCTGTGATAAAAGTAATCTAGTAAATGAAGATGACATAAAGTCACACTATCCCCATACATTGCATGACCCAGGCAGTAAAGAAACAGTTTACAAATAGCTTAGTTTATAGTTAATTGCTAGACTATACAGAAACATTCATTTCTTTATTCAAAAAACATTCATTTTAGGCCAAACGTGTGTCTTGGTGATGCGGAATCATAATCTTTACCCTTGTGAGGCTTTCAGTCAGGAGCCATTGTGGGAAAAATTTCCTATCCCAGAAGTCAGTGAATTACACAAACAAGGTGGAGGTACCTGGGGCCGCCCTAAAAGGCAAAGTTTGTGACTGCACAGTGAGTCTGAGTAATGAGGGATTTAAACACACACACACACACACACACACACACACACACACACACACATTTCAAAGAATTAAAGACTAAAGCCAAGGTTTGATGCTCGGGTACCTGGTAAAGGAGGATCGCCCAAGCAGAGGAAAGCACGCGGAGGGAACCCAAGACATCACCTAAGGAGAGATAAAGATGTTTGCTTTAATCAACCTGCGTTTGTGTAATCTCTAAATTGAATGCCCATAAACCTTGAGATAAACATTAAACCCAAGATCCAGGGAGATTTGGAATCGGACATACAATTTTTAAAATGCCATATTAAGGAAGGTGGCACGCGAGCTGCCATTTGCCAGAAGAATAAACAATGCTTGCAGTTCAAATGATTACCTCAGAATTTAGTTCTCCACGCTGAATCCGTGGGGGAGGGGAAGAGAACGCCAGCGAAATGGCCAGGGAAAGCGGGATTGGGTGAGGAACGAAAGCGCAAGAGTGCACAGGAAATCCTAGCTGATGACGCCAGTGAGCCCGAGCACAGGTCCCAGTACCCAAGAATCGCGGCCAAGGGCAAGGGGGTAGGCGGAGGACAGATGCCGCGGGCAGAACGCGAGCGATGAAAAGCAATGTGCTTGAGAGTGATCTATTGACCTTTCTAACCCCTGTGACAGAACACCTAGTCATCAGGTTAAAACAAGCACCCGCGCAGATGAAAGCAGAGCATGCTCGAGTCGAGGGGCTGCGGCGCGGGAAATAAAAGCCCGCGCGGGGTCGTCTGCCCCACCCTGCGTGTAAATCATACACCTCGGAAGTTTTGCATTAGAGAGCCCGGCAGGGGAGGAAATTCTCTGCAAGTAAAGAAAGTAGAACTAGGGCAGTCGGAGGAGATTGAAAGGGCAAAACTATCAAGCAAGAACACTGTAAGTTCTGATTAGTTTTACGACTTTGCCTGCATGCCTCAGGAGCTCCATTGATCAAGACGCTCAGACGAGCTAAGGAGGCGGGGTGTGCGGGGAGGGCGAGGCTTGCAAACATTCCCAAAACTCTGCCAGCTTCGTGCTTTCAGATGCAAATACTTCGCGGAGAGATGGATGGGACTCAGCCCCTCCTACTTTCAACCCTCTTCTTTATTTTCCTGGGAAGGAATCCATCTGTACAGATCTGTCGGGAGGGAGGTGGAGGAGGGTGCGCAAGTGTGCGCGCGTGTGTGTGTGCGCGAGTGTCGGCCGAGCGGCTCCCTCTTCGCGTGCTTTGCCAGTAACCCTCGCTGGGTCTCCAGAAGGTACCGAAGTCTCAGGGGCTGCCCGAGCCCGCCTGAACCGCGCCGGCAGACGGCACCCGCAGCGGGCTGGCCTCCGCCGATCCGCGCCTCCCCGGCCGGCCGGCGCTTCCGCCTCCCCGCGCTCGCCCTCTCGCCCTCTGGCGGGACGCGCGCTCCCGGAGCTCAGGTCTCGGTGTCTGAGCCGCTGGCGCGAGCGGAGAGACCGCGGGACCCGGCGCCTGAGGCCCGGGCAGGGGCCCCGAGCCCCGCAGAGTGGGCTGTGATTGGCGGAGGAGCCTGTGCCTCCCGGCCGAGCGGGTGCCAAAAAGGTGCCTCCAGTCCGCTCCGCGCGCGGAGCGGCGCGCACAGTGTCCCGAGGCCCCGCGGGCGCCCGACCGCCGAGCTCGCGTCCTCTCGGATGCACACGCCTGGGCTCCCGGCGCCTGACGCCACCCGGAGGGCAGCGGGGCCCCAGGTGAGTGAGTCTGCCTGCTAGAGGCTGGGGAAGGCGCCGCTGGGCAGAGGTGGAAGCAGGACTAAAGAGCGAGCGGAAGGCGGGCGGGGGCATCCGTGCGGAGTTTCCCTGGGCGCTCCCAAGTTACTGTGTGTTGCCGAGAGACGTTCCGCAAGGCAGGACTGGCGTGCGGAAGGAGCTGCGGGCCCGGATAGCCGTGTCCGCAGACACCAGGGGCGTCGCGAGTAGTTCAGGGTAAGAGCATATCCCAGCACTCTTCAGATGCAGCGGTACACGCAGTCTGGACCGCTCTCCTCAAAGAGCACAGCAGGGCCCCTCTTTTGACCTCGGACGGATGGGGGCACAACTCCGTGCAGCTTGTGCCTCCGGGTTCTGCAGAGGTCTGAGCCTGGACGGGGGTGTATGCCTGCGTGTGCAGGAGTCCTTTGAACCATCTGGCCTTCCGCGAAGGTGGAACTCACCTAAGGTTGCTCTGCTTCTTCTGTAATTAGTATTCTGCTGACTCGGTGCATCCGCAGGTTTGCCTCAGCTGCTCGTCCTCCTTCCCTTCTGCCTCGCTGGGCTTAGGTGTGAGAGGGCAAAAGGTGCCCAGCTTTCCCGAAAGCCTGGTGGACTTCTCCGTGAGTGCACGGGGCACACGGCTAGTCGCTGGCCTTCAACCTTCCCGCGTGGATTAATGTCAAAGGACCTTTGTTCTGTACATCTTCACGCTTTAGATCCTTAACCCCACGGATTTCTTAGATGTCCTAGTTCAGGTGAGTAAAGGTGAGCAGGGAGCTTGCCTAGCCCTGGGCAAATGGCAAACTGTAGAGAAACCACAAGGATGGTGCTCAAGACGTAAGAGATGCAGAACCATGAGTACTCTTAAAACACCTACTTTGTGAGAAATACTGTGCCTGTTAGATCATTTATTAAGTGAATTGTCTACAAGTAAGACTTACCCTTCATAATTTCTCTTATCAGACAGATGTTCAGATCATTTTTCATGGCAAAGTAATGGACGGGTTTTATATAAAATAAAAAAAACCTTAATATCTATTTTTGGCCTTGCTAAACATTTATATGTAGTTTAAAAATCAGATTAATAGTACAAAAATACTTTTGGAAGAGTTTGAGAACAACAACGGTCTTGTTAAACAGAAAGTTCGCACAGATTCACTGCCAGAACATGGAAAGAGTAAAAAAGTCTCTTTATAAGGACAAGTTGTGTGTGTGTGTGTGTGTGTGTGTGTGTGTTTGTGTGTGTGGTGGGGGATAAGCATAGGGGAAAAGTACTTGCATTTGAAGCTTTCAGAAACTCATCCCAAATTGTTTCTTTTCTAAAGGAGTTGTGAGATTTTGTCTCAATCCACTTTTTTCTTGTTGCTCTTTGTAAAAGAAAAAAATCATTAATAAACCTTTTATTTTAGGGCTGTTTGGAAAAGTATGGATTAAGATATAAGGGCACTGAGGTAGGCAGTCAAAGTGAAGCTTGTGGTAGTCTTGTTTGTTAGTTAGTGTGTAATGTGGAGTGTGTTGGTGGAAGCGGTTAGGCAGCATCCATATGTTAATAGTCTCATCCAGTAAAGCTGGCTGACAGTCTGTGCATGGAAAGGAAACTAAAGAAAATAACAATCAGCAGTACACCCCACCACCCTCATAAAAACCACTAAGGTTTGCAGCTTTTAGAAAGGGCATAGTGCACTCACAACATGAGGCATTGTTGTAATTAAGGGCTGCAGTATGTCATTGGAATCGTGTTAACAACCAGTTGACAGACTCACAACTCTTAAGTCTACTTTTATTGATTTTAATAGGCACAGAGAGCTTTCTCTTTCTTATGAGAGGGTACTTGTAAAGCATCTGTATTACTGAATCCAACCTTGAATGGACTGAATTTTACTGCCCAATGAGAAGGAGCAGGCGAGAGCACACTCACTTGGCCACTGTTCAGCCTTCCGTGGTCCAAAAATCAAACCACCATCTCCTCTCAGGCATGACTTGTTTGCCAGTCTTCCTATTATTCAGCATTTTTAAATGGTAAAGCTGAAATAAACTTCTCAGCATATGGGCAGATATTAAAGAAATGAATACATCTTTGTGTTGAGTCAAATACTTTGTCAAATCTTTCAGAAATGCTTTATAGAGTTCTAAGCTCATAAATTGCTTTATGCTGTGAATATTTACTGCTGAGTGATTCCAATTTTCCTCGATTTTATAAGGTTTTTCATTTATTGGTTCAACAACTTGTATCACATCACAGTTCTGTCACAAGAAAAAAATGTTTTTTACTCGATTTGGAAGGCTTGAAAGACTTAGCTTAAATTAAGAGTTCAGAAACTTCTAAAATAGCTAACCTGCATTAGTTAATTGCAAAGGGACTTGTGGAAAGAAAGCTGTTCTTTCTTCAATGAAGGAATCAGCTGATCTTCGGTGGGGTGATAAAGGGGAAGTAAGGACAAGGAAAGAAGACATGTGATCAGAGTCCTGTGTGTGACACCGCCAGTGACAAGCCCAGCAGATCTAGCTGCAACCTGCAATACACGAGTGCCTCCTCTGGGAGTTTGCTGGTTCTGCAGAAAGACACCCTGGCAAAGGCTTCCCCCTGCGTTCTGAACTCTCCTCACTGCTGAAATTGCCAGTGCAAATGAATACGCAGACATCTGTTCATACAGTTACTTCCCATTATAACCTATATTTTCAGGCTGGTAGAGTTTGTTATCTGCCCTTTTGGGTAGTGTTTACTGAAACATGATGCCTTTTATTGAAGTCCCATAAATCACATCTGACACAAGGTAAATACAAGGGCAAATTAAAATTTAAAATGGATACAGCTAAGAGTCTTTATAAACATAAAGGGTAAGGAATAAAAGAACTTTAAGCTTTAATTTTCTTTGTTATTACATAAATAATTCAGAAAGTAATTTACTGCTTTGTTTACTTTTTAATTTATGTAGGTTTGTTGGAGGTAATTACAATTATTCCTCTTTTTTTCATTCCTTCACTCCTGGCAGAGGTTGCTTGTGCTTAGTTGAAATTGATGCTGCAATCTACTTAGAGAAGTTTTCTTTCTGTGTTTGATGGCCAGGTGGACAGTAGAGACTATGTGGTTCATTTGCAGGGGGCCTGCCTCCATATGTAGGCCAGTTAATTCAGGAGGTTTCGGTCTGTGGTTGTAATGTTGTGTGGATCAATGGAGCTAATAGATTTGATGGCAATTTCTTTATGTGAAAAATCACATAGCATAATGTCCCAAGCCTCACTAATTAAAATGTAAAAAAAAAAGTTGCACATTTTAAAAACAGAAGAGAATGCTTTCATTAACATTAAAATTTTATTTAATATAAGAAAAAATACACTGTTATAGTTATCTAGCATATATAATATATATATATATATATATATATATATATATATATATAATATCTATTCTCTGTCTACCTATGTGTCAAATTTCTGAGATGCTTCCAAATGCCTGTTTTTAAAACATTCAATGAAAACTTGAGAATCTTGTTCAACTTCCAGTTAACTTCTTGGCATCATAATATAATCAGAAGTTATTTTTGGATTGTCAGTTGTTTAGAGACAGGGAGGCATACCTGCTCATTTTCTCTATTTTGTTGCAGAAAAAGACATATTTACTCTTGCTCTGTCCTGCCTTTCCACTTGACTAAGTCATGAAGGTCTTATCTGAAAACTAAAACTCTTAAGTCATATAAATGTTTGAGTGTAAACCACTTTTTTGACATTTGCAAAAGACAGTAAATTTCAAATATCACATTTAAGAACAGATCCATTGCCATGTGAATAATTTTTAACTTATTGCATCAAAATATGCCCAATTCCATCAGTATCAAGCAGTGTGGCTTTGAACCTTTCATTAAGATTTTACACGTTTCAATTATATTCTGTAGTAAAGAAAGAAGGGACAGGATTAGGTTTTAATAAATTCTGCTTTAGTTCAAATCTGTCATCCATCAGTTGTCCCAACGCCTCAGAAATCTTAAAAGATAAGGAGCAGCAGAGCTGAGGAGTTCTTTATGCCTCTCCTGCGAATCCTCATGAGAACCAAAGTAGTTCATTCTTCAATATTGAATGCCATTCTTTCAAGTGTCTTACATGTGCTGTCCTTAATAGCTTGGCTTGTAATGTGGCTCCAAATGAAGTGTGGCTGAAGAGTTTTAAGAGCTTTTAAAAACTCTTTGATCTTGTCTACTTTTCAATAGTGTTGAATTTTGACATCAGCTGAGTCATGGATGGAAGGAGATTGAAATGTATCTTTTTTTTTTTTTTTCCTTTTGGTAGTTCAAAAATGTATTAAGTGATTCTACTTTAAAAATAAGTAGGACTGGGGATGTAGCTCAGTGAGACAGTGTATGCTTGGCAAGTACAAGGTCATGAGTTCAATTCTTGGTATCCCCCCAAGGGGAAAACAAGAAAGAAAAATGAGTAAAACCAACTATGAATGCTGAATATCCATCGCACGAAACTGACGACTCTCCAAAGGGGACAGAGAAGTCACATGGGGGAGCGTGGTGGTCTCAGGTAGCTACTGTGCTGGTGCAACCCAGGCAGAAAAAGGTCTCAAAGAAGAAACTGGATGAATCAGAAGACAGTGTCTTTGAATTTAAATGAAGTCACTGAACACTTAACAAATATCCAAAATAAACCAGACCTTTTTCCAAATAACACCAAAGCACTAGTACATGAAAGATGGTTTTTAAAGCAATTTTTTTGCACATTTCTGTCTAACCATTGTTGTGGAATGTATCATTTTCACTTTTACACCTGTGCTGCATCATTTTGTTCATAAAGATTAATTAAAATTATGCTGCTTTAAAAATGTAATTCAACTTTAAAGCAGTCTTGGATATGATAGTTTCTTCCCAATAGGCGAACCACAAGATTTCCTCCCTCATTCTGTTGTTAGTGTTATAGCCATGATTTTTTGTGCCATTATGTTTTATAGATGGCCAGCAAAATGTCTCAGGAAATACCAGTTAGAATTTGGAAATAGGCAC